GCCATAAGGACCCGGAATCCTGCCATAAGGACCCTGGGAATCCTGCCATAAGGACCCGGGAATCCTGCCATAAGGACCCAGGAATCCTGCCATAAGGACCGGGGAATCCTGCCATAAGGACCAGGGAATCCTGCCATAAGGACCCGGGAATCCTGCCCTAAGGACCCGGGAATCCTGCCATAAGGACCCGGGAATCCTGCCATAAGGACCCGGGAATCCTGCCCTAAGGACCCGGGAATCCTGCCCTAAGGACCAGGAATCCTGCCATAAGGACCCAAGAATCCTGCCATAAGGACCAGGAATCCTGCCATAAGGACCAGGAATCCTGCCATAAGGACCAGGAATCCTGCCATAAGGACCCGGGAATCCTGCCATAAGGACCAGGGAATCCTGCCATAAGGACCGGGAATCCTGCCATAAGGACCAGGAATCCTGCCATAAGGACCCGGGAATCCTGCCATAAGGACCAGGGAATCCTGCCATAAGGACCAGGGAATCCTGCCATAAGGACCCGGGAATCCTGCCCTAAGGACCCGGGAATCCTGCCCTAAGGACCAGGAATCCTGCCATAAGGACCCGGGAATCCTGCCATAAGGACCAGGAATCCTGCCTTAAGGACCCGGGAATCCTGCCATAACGACAGTGCCCATGGGCTTGTAGGTCAGGGTATGGACTGCAGGTAAGGAGGACAGTGGGATAGGCTGACTTTTAGAGTCTGACCCACCCCGTGTGAATCTGGACTCTTGTGGCCTTGATGAGTTTGCCGGTCCTCTGTGTACTTGGTCTTCCTGACACACAGAAGGAATCCTACGGGCACCTCCCTGGCATGCTCTTCGTTAAGACCGAAGTCCGATGGCAGGTGTAAAGCAACCAGGTGGTACCTGGCACCCAGGAGGCCAACCAAGATGTAGCCGCCAGTTTTGTTATTCTTAATGCAGTCCCCAGGGTAGGTGCAGGAGAGGCTGCTGGGAGCAGGGCCTGGTGGGGGGGTGTCTCTTCGCCTCTCCCAGGGCGCCCTCCATAAGAATCACAGCTTCTTTATCGCTCGCCAAAACCAGCTCTCAGCTCTGCAGATGGGGAAGCCAGTGGTCCATGCTGGGATCTGGGGGCTGGAGGGTGGGGGCTGGGGGCTGGGGAGGCAGGAGCCACTCCCCTCACACCATCAAGAAGCACACGGTCCTTGATAAAACCAGGCAATCATTGTCACCCCTCGGCCAGGGAGAGCTTGGCTGATTCTGCTGTGTGAGAACGAGGAGTAGCAGATGCTTCTGGAACCTT